AAAAAAAAAAAAAACACTATACTACTATTCTAAATTTGAACATGAGTTATCTCTCCTATAATGATGATTTAAATTTGAACATGAGATAATATCTATGTTACACGAATGAGATTTAAATTTGAATGTAAGATAATATCTATGTTACACCAATATTTTTATGTTACACGAATGAGATTTAAATTTGAATGTAAGATAATATCTATGTTACACCAATATTTTTAGCTCTCGTAATGCGGTACACTCACTACAAAAAAACACTTCAATTCCAATGAAAAATTTCAACGGCAAAAATTTTTGTTGGAAATTCCAATGAATATTCCAACAAACTTAATTTTATGTTGGAATAAGTGTTGGATGGTTGAGGAATTCCAACGGATTTTTTCCTTTGGAATAGTTGTAGGAATTTATTTTCATAGGATTTTCCGTTGGATTTTAGTTATTCCAACGGCCGTTTTTCCCACGAATTTTTGTACGTAAGAATATATCCGTTGGAATAGCTATTCCAACGGAAAATATAAAGAAATCCAACAGAAAATTTTCATTGGAATGTAAGAGTTTTTTTATAGTGACTGTACATATAACATCGTAGATGATTTAAATTCGAATCTTTTTATCTCTCCCATATAATATGAGTTCACTTTGAATAAGAGATAACTTTAATATTTTTCTCTTTTTTTTGGGTATAAAACATGGTGGATGAGTAATGTTTGAAAATGATATAATATATCTCGTAACTGTTGGAATTAACTTTATGCGGAATACATCGCTTTGATCCAGGAGATTTCATATCGAATAATTGAGAATCAAGACTGAATAGCGGAAGCGTACCTGAATCCATAGGTGATTGATTTGGGGATTTGGCCTTCTAGGTCTATGCGTCGTGTACCTTTTCAGAGAACCCTTTAACTTTTTTTCTTTGTAACCTCTCTGACGATGGGATGCAGAAGAGTAACTAATCGATACGTATGAACTACGGACCACAACCCTTATGTACATTAAGTTACATTGGGTATCTCTATTTTAGACCATCATTAAAATAGAAGACCCATTAGTTTCTACACATTAAAGGCCAACACCTTATTGATACTTTAAAACCCAATAACTTTAAAACTTAATTGATCACTTTTATTTGGGCTTCTTTATTTGACAACTACAATACAATAATTATTTGGCAAAATTATATTTTTGGTCCTGTTTCTTTGGCCTCGTGGCAATTTTCGTCCTGAGATCGGAGCATTTTTTTATTTAGTCCTGTAATTTCAAAAGTCAACGCAATTTCAGTCCTTCTGGCGCCCAAAAGTCAAAATTGTTGTTGGATTTGTGACGTAGCCCGCACGTGACGCCCTCATGTCCGATTTCCTCTAACTTGGCATGCAAAAACGCAGACGAGGCAACAAAATCAATTAAAAATGCAAAAAAAAAAAAAAAAACATAAAACAGAAAACGAAAAATGTTTACTTATCCCCAATTTATCGATCCTAGAACCCTAACTTCCCAAATCCAAACCAAGAAACCTAATCCCCCAATTTGTGAAATTCACACATAAATTTATCGAGGCTGGAGATGGGGCCCACGAGGCGGCAGTAGGAGACACCGACCAAGATGACGGGGATGAAGAGGCCGGACGGGATGGCGATGCCATAGGTGATGATGCCGAGGGAGAAGACTGCGATGAAGAAGGTGAAGTGGGTTGAGATTTGGAACTCGTTTTGGTTATTGGAGCTGAGGAGGTTGAGGATGGCGTCGTCGGTGGTGTTGAGGAGCAGGAAGGCGAGGTCGTTGTTGTGGGAAAAATTGATGTGTTTTCAATTTTTTTTTTTT